TCCCGGGAGCCCGCCGGGAGTTGTAGTCCCGAGCGCCTCGCCCCAGGGCCGGCTCCCTCCGGACGGGAGCCTGAGGCGGGCGCCCAGAGGAGGCCTGGCGGACCTCTCCCGCCGCTCGGGCTGGAGGGAGCCGGCTACGGTGGGGCAGGCCCTCCGCCAAACGGGAATCCCGGCCTTACCGAGCCGAGCGGCCCTGCGGCTCCTGTCCCCGGCGTCTGCCCCTCGTTTGGAGGAGGCGGGTGGCAGCGGCGCCGTCGGGGGTCACCCCCCCCCGCCCCGGGCTTTGGCGAGGAGTTTGGTCCCAAGTCTCTGTAACGGAAATGTTGTAAGATCTTGTAACAAATAGTTGAACCCAAGCGTCCCGTGCTTTGATAAAAGTAATTGCATAATTGTAGAGTTGTGCTGTCAGTGTTTCGGCCCGGTGCCTGCATGGGGGTGGGAGCGTGTTTGGGTAACTTTTCCATTTAAGTTCTGCCCCAAAGCAGAAGGGGAAACTTGTGAAATCTCAGGCTTTCCGAGCCAGGATTTCCCAAAGCCCCCTACGCTGTGCCATGGGAGATGGGGACACAGCAACGTGAAGCCTGATCCTAGAGCTTCTCCAAGAGGTAAGGCTTCTCGGGCACACCATTGCTCGTTAACAGCACTCAGGTGAAGCTGTAGGTACCCTTCCCTGCCTCGTGATACCTCCGTGCACAGAGCATGCTGTGTTCCACATGTACTGCAGTGCTGTTTCACCTCTCCGCCTTGCCAGTCCATCCATCCAGGAAGGTCCATTTTGTCCCATCTGATCGCCCTGTAGGTTTGGAGAAGGTGAGCTGAAAAGTTGTCCTTGTCCTTCCATAACCTGCAAAATGGACTAATGAACCTGTCAGTACCAGAACAGCTTCTGAGGCCAGAACACTACTTGTATGGATAATTTTAAAGGTTTCCTTCTTGTAGACATGCAAAATGCGGGTTTTGGGTTTGGGGTTTTTCTGTTCTTTCTAAGAGGATACGTGCTCAAAATATCCTTCCATACCACCATAGCTATGACTGGATGTGGCATTAGCTGGCTAGAAACTCGACTTTGGCAGGTAGATTTGCTCAGAAAATAAAAGGGAATTGATGTTTCTTTTGCCTTTAAACTTGCTGTTTGGCAAATGCGCTTCCCTGAACATAGGAAACTGCTTAGCAAGTAAGTTTGGAGAGAGTTCAGAGTTTGCTCGACATGCTTCAGTCTTTTTGTTACCAGCGTCAAGGTAGGTGAGCACAGTCAGAGCTGCCTGTACGTGCTCCCCAAAACCGTCTGTCTTCCTCTGCAGGCAGAGCAGCCTGATGAGCTCCTGCAGGACAGAGGCAGAGCGCTCAGGAGTCAGTGTTAGTGTCCAAACAGCTACAGCATCTGCGTTTCTCCTCACACAGACTGGACACACGCCTTCCTTTCCCACTCCTCCAGGACTCCTGCTCATGCTGCAACGCACCAGTCTGACCAGCAAAGCACAAAAACCCATGGAGACGATTAAGGACAAATCAAAAAGAAGAAAAACCAAAAAAACAAACCCATGAGTAATCAAAGGGAAATGTGGCCCCAGCTCAAAGTAAAACACACAAAGAGCAAGGCGCTCCCAGGGGCAAATCCCAGCGCAGCCGCTTGGCTGCCAGCTTGGATTGCAGCGTCCTCCTGGGCTGGGGGCTCCAGCCTCGGAGGATACCAACGTGGTCTGCAAAGGCTCTGTGTTGCAATGCAGAGAATGCCTTTGTCTGGGAAATCAGTGATAGGAGAGCAGCGATTCCTGAGCACCGCATGGGGGGCCCAGCAGCTGGCCGCGTGGTTTCAGTCCTAAGTCATGGGCATAATATTGCCTGTCTCCTTCCTTCCACTCTTGCCTGGCTCTCCCTGCCTCTGCTCCCCTCTCACATTTAAAAGCTTCCTCCTATATTAGTTACAGAAATTAAAAAATGCAACTGTAGGAAATTCCTGTGCCTTGTCAGCGCCAGAGATTTGCTCAATTTCTCCCCTAAGACCCGAGTCATCGGTGTAGCTGCCAGGCTACGCATTCCCACTGTACTTGAGTAAAGCCGTTTGCCTGAGTTTGCGTGGCACGATTTGCCACGGTGCTGTCAGCACTGGCTTCATGCAGGAGAGGACAACGTCTGTGGAAGAGGCAGCTTTGAGGAGGCACAGGGATACAGGAGCCCTACGAGAGCCTGCACTGCCGCAGCTGCTCCGTGTAGGCAGCCTGTAGGGGAGAAGAAGAAGCTGTAGATGAATCTCTTCCTAAAGGCAGCCAAGGTCTTGCTCCACCGCCAGCCTAAACCACCAGCTCGACATGTGAACATCGGACCAACAAAACAAATGGGCTCTGGTAAGCTGCAGCTGACCAGCAAGTTCCTGCACATCAGCAAAGCTGCTGTAGCTGTTCACACGAGTGTGCCTCGTTACACCAGCCGTGAGGTGCTGTGACCCAGCTGCAACCTCGGCCAACGGGGAACAGGCCAGCCTGCTTCATCCTGCAGTCGGGGTGTGCCAAGAGAGAGCCCGGGTGGTGAAGACAACTCAAGCGATGGGCAGGAATTTGTCACGCTGCTCTACTGCCCGAGCCTTTTGGCCAAGAAAAAAAATACAGCGTGGCACATGGAGCTTGTCTAGATCCAGACAGCCCTTCTTCTGCCTGCTTCCCAGTCTAACTCTGAGGCAAAATTAATCTAGAAGAATTCTCCCCCAGTGCTTCTTTAATTACTGAAGTTATGATTTGTATTGTGATAGCCTCCATGGGTCCTCACCACAGCCCAGCCACTCTTGTGCCAGGACAATGCGCACCACAAAGGTTTCAGAGACCATCAAGCACACACAGCAGAAACAAGAAACCTTGGTCGGCAACTAGAGCCCTATCTTGGTAGGCACTACCCACACACGTCGGCTAAGGAATAATGCAGCTCTCACATGGTTTATGGCTTTATTAAAATCTGCTGGAAAGGAGCTGCCCTTGGAAGAAAGCAAAAGAGAGACTAGTTCCCTCCTCAAAGCAAGAGAGCTGCCTGCAGTGAAGAGGGCAGTGAGGCCCACAGGCAGCATTCCTCAAAGGATGGGTGGCTCCTGAATCCTTAAGTGGATTCTTCCAGGCATTGTGAAATATTCATACCTTGAGGGAAGATTAGTTTTCTTTTTTGACAGTCACAACATAGGATCTTCCCTAAACATGGTCATGAAAGAAGAGCAGCTCTTTATTTGCTGACATTGTCTCTCTGTGTCCTTGTCTCTTGCCTTTTATTAAGATTGCAAGTTCTTTACAGCAGAGACCATCTTTCATCCTCTTTGTACAGTCTCACACATGAGGGGATATTGTCCATGGCCAACGCGGGAGGGTGAATACAGATAACAGCATTTTGTGGCTAGGGGCATACAGAGGTTATCACTACTACAAACTGCAAACAACACGGCAGTTAAAGCTCAGATGAGCTCAGATGAGCTCTAGCAAATCTAACTCCGACAGTCTGAGATGCAACTGCAGAGCTTGAGAGCAATCTTCCTTGAACAGTAAGTCGTCACACTGAGGGTGGCAAAAGACAGACCCTCCCCTTGAGCCAAAGCTCCCAGAAGCCACTGACACAAACTTTGGGAAAAGAATACTTGTTTCAAACTCAGTACATTTTTAAAGAAGTGCTGGTAGAATGGAGATGAATCTCCATCCACCTCAGGCTAGCCAAGAAACCACTTAGCCAAATGTGACCAAGAGGAAGCTTCATTTGCTCAGTCCAGCTCTGTCCCCAGGGCAGGTACAACCAGGACTGAGCAAAGGCAAACGCAGGAACTACGTGGGCTCCTTAGTCCTAAAGGGAAAAGTGCTCTGGCACCCTGGTACACCACAGAAAGAGGAGGGCACATTGACACCAGGGCAGAACCAACATGAGAGTGCAGAGGCCCAGCAGCGCAGAAGAAGGGCATCAGGCAAGAAACCATGCAAGAAGAGGCAACTGTGGAGGTGGAGACAGCCAGAGCAGCAGCACCGCTCCAACCGGCCGCCGGGTCCAGCAGGCAGGGAATCTCCTTTGGCTTTCTCATCTCTCCAGAAAAGCAAAACCATGGAATGTGGCTTCTTTGTAAATTATCAAGCCGCCCCACAGATGTAGTAAGACACAGCAAAAGTTGAGTAGGGAGGTGAGGGGTCCTGCATCCCAGAAATCAAAGAACTGTTTGTTGTTAACAGAAGCCAAAAGCTTTTTAGGAGTCCTTTGGACAGACAGGAGAGGACACATCCCCTGAAAGATGGTTCATTTGCCTGCTCTACCTTAAAACAGCGCGACCTTTCAAAGCCCTGGCAAGCCATATTAACTAGGCCATAATCCTTCCCCCGCAGGCCTCACAAAACCCAATAAAGTCCTTATTGCCAAAAGGGTGCACTGGGCACAGATGTGTTCTGCCATTAATGGGGTTTGCAACTATTTTCTGTCTGGTAAGATAAACGAGGAAGAGAATGAGCACGCCCTTGCGTTTGACCAGAATGCTGTTGAAAAGAGGGAAAAAAAGCTCTCTGGAAAGAAAGAAGGTGGATCAGGCGCCGGGGAGAATCCTACAGCAGTGACCTTTCCGTGTGAGCCTCCACATTCCCCTTACGGATGCGAATCCGGTGTTTGAACCACTTCCCTTGGCCGTGTACTGTGAGCACGGAGGCTGCAGCTTGATGGTCTGGAGATACAAGTGTGAGGCAGAAGTCACCCTCAATAGTGGAATCTCAGATCTGCTGCTCTAACTGGGAAAAAACCCCAAGAGAATGGCCGTCAGGCACAGCGAAGTTTGTACGCCTCCTCCTGTGCCCTTTTTTTCAGTTTTATCAGTTTGTCTGAAAATTCATTAACTTCCTCTGGCCACAGTTAGGCTTGTTGCTTAATTGCTACTCGTGATGAAAGCAGGCCATGGAGACCCCAGTGGATTCGTTACCTCTCTAGGTTAAAACTTCACTGCTGCTGTTTTCAGGCCTGGGCAGGACCAAGTGACTGGTGGCAACTCCTCTAAGACACTATTTAAGCAGCCTTGGCTGCTGTAGACCTCTATTCTAATAACATCCATTGAACTGAGCTGACTTCCTACAATATTGCTGTCTTGCAGGAGCAAAGAGAAACAAATCTACAGAATTAGAAAAAAAAAAAAAAAGGGATACATTGAAGAAATATACCCAGGGCTTCAGGACTGCCCTTGAGTGACCCTCACAATTGGTGGGGCTTTCCAAGTCCTGCTCTCCTTTTCCACACGGAGTCTGGCAGGGGAGGCTGCCTCCACAAGGGAAAGGACCCAACTGTTGGTTGTCCAATGCCTCACCTCCCACACGGCTTTTGCACTGCTGGAAGGGACCAGTGGAAACTGCTATTAATTTAGCTTCCGTGGCTTCCTATTTGCCTCGTTCAAGCATCAGCGCCCGCAGAAAGCGTGAGGCGAAGCAGAGGGAAAGCACTGCTCAATGAACAAATGCAAACAAAACACAGAAATCAAGAATGGACTTTGCCCACAACTGCTCCCTTCCCGAAATCATTGCAAGTGAAACAGATTTAGAGCAAATAACACCATAAAATGTACATCAGCGATGCAGTTTTTAACTTGGGTAGTGTCACTAAGAAAAATGACGAGCCACTTCCATCACAGGGTTTCCATCCATCTCTGCACTTTGTGGGTGCCAGGTGTGACTCTTGGACATAAATCCTTGCAGCTGAGCTTCACCTGGAGGCTCTGCCCAGCTGCCGGGAATGAAGCTGCAGGACTGAGAGCAGTTACAACTGCAATATTATTTTACCACCTCCTTCATTTCAGAACACGTCATTATTAGAGGCTGTTTTGTGGGCCCTCTTCCACCTTAGTCCCTTCAGACAGGAGTCACGGCAAGTATGTTTTTTTCCTATTTGGCTTTCATTTAGGAAAACTGAAAATCGCTAGGAGGAGAATTACTGCCAACACTGACCTTTATTTTCACCCAAAGACACAAATCAACTAGGTGTGATGCAGTTTCATTCCCTTTTTCCGTCTTTTCTTTCTTCTACCAAATAAATATCTCAAGGTAATGAACATCAGCTCAGCACTGAGCCTGTAAAGAAACACACACGGGAGAGGAATTAGTCACAATGCTAACAGTTCAACATTATTGCAGTAGAAACATATAAATATATTCAAAGGTTTCATTTTACAGTGTTTGAAGTGCAACAAGTCATTTAACAACAAAAAATGTTAGAAACATTCACCCGACAGACTAAAGCCCACCACCAGCAGTGTTTCAAAGCAATGCCAAGCCCACGGGGAGCAATTTAACATCATTCTAGAGGGCATGAAAAAAAATATAATAATGCAGTGCACGAAGTGGCTTGGTATTTTAAATTCTTAAAAATAGTAGTTGACAGTATTGTTATGAAAACAAATGGAAGATGGAAGGGGCTGGGAAGAGGAGGCTGGGAAAGGGGAAACAACCCACAGGGCCAGCTGGTCTCTTGTGAAAATATAGACTGAATTGCAGCATTTTGGAATCGCTGATAACACTGTAAACAAAAAAGGTAACTGTTTAAAAAAAAGGTGACTGCGTGCATAATCCAGGGCTTTTCATAACTCCCTCATTAGCTGACAGATTCTTGAATAAGCATTCTTTCTTTTCCGCCTCCCCCCTTTTTCTCACCGAACCGAGTAAAACTATTTGGCCAAACCCCAAGCCGTGCTGACTACCCGCGGGTCACTACTTCAAACTAAGGGATGGAATTCTGCCGGACCGACACAAACTGCAGCACAGGAATGACTCCATCGCCTTAAACATCTTTTTCTCAGGTGGGGACAGGTCTGTCCTGTGGGCAGGATGCTGGGCCCTGCAGGGGAGACCGGGTCTCGCTGGGGAGAGGCAGAGCTCAACAGAATCAGACCCTTCTTGGAGGAAAAGGCACATGTTAACAACAGTCACAAAGGGTGATGTCCAACTGGCAGGGACCTCAGCAGGAGGTGGCTCCGACTCGCCCCCAGTTTTCCCACCCCGAATATTTTAAATAAAGAGCCTTAATGAGAAAAATCAGGTGAACGTCCCCGGGCTGCTGACACAGCAGGACGAGCAGCCGGACTGACGCGCACGTGCACTGACCTCACGCTGGCTGTTCAGCCAAGCCAGTGCTCCAAATTCAACGCGCCTGAGGAATTGGTGAAATTCAGTTTTGTGTAACAGGAAAAAAAAAAACAGATTCGAGAAAATCTGGTTTGTGACATTTTCATACAGACACGGTTCTTGGTTTCCACACCGCCTCTTAAAACTACACGCACTCAGTAAGGAGACATTTATTCCATTATTTCTGTTTTCAAATTTTTGGTACAAAGTTTATTTTCAGAAGTTCTCACATGATCCTTTCTTCTACCAGCGTCTTTTAGGATTTTTCTATCTCTGATTTATTTTCTTTATCTGTTGAAGCAAAAGCAGTAATTGCTACAGAAAGCAATAATGGCAATATTACAAATATTTTACAGCAGCATCCATTCGTCTCTTTGCCTCAAAAAAATAACAAAAATAAATCCAAAGACAAGATCCATACTGCCACAAAGGCTTAGGTTTGTGATATCCAGAAGTATGCTGCGTTCCCATAAATGAGTTGTACAAGTCCGGCACAACTTTCCAAGTTTGTGCAGAGCCTGATAAATAAGACACAGAAATATCAGTTACGTTATACTGTTTCTAAGAACTTTTACTCTGTAAAATGTTTGGTCACTCAAAGCTATAAGCTTAATCACATATCAAAGAACACAGGCAGTAAAGCCCATCTTACTAGAACATATAGTATTAGGCCAAACAAAATATAAGAGGACAAAATCTAGTGGTCACTGAAGCCTCTTCAAAAAAGGTCTAAAACAGAATGTTTCCATCATGTATCAGAATAAAAACGTACTGTATTAAAATTTGATTTTTTTTTTTTGTACAAGCTGTCTTTTAATCAGTCTTCTATTTACAGTGCAGAACTTCTGCCAACTGCAGTAGTTTAACTTTGGCACAACACTAAGTTCCAATCCTTTTGAGTATTCAAGTCCTGTGTGTGTCCAAAAATTTTCTTGGTTTCACGAAAAGATTAGGCCCATTCACAGTTAACCAGTTATCTTGAACTTTTTCAAGAATTGCTTCCCCTTCACCACACTGGGCAGCTACAAAGGAAAGACACTGTAAGCTATTGCATCATTCAAAAGAAACTCTTCATTCTAAACAGCGACAGTTTTGTTGCTTCCTTTAACATCACATACACCAGACGGATCACGCAGACGGCTACATACTGGACACCTTCTAAAAACCTTGCTGGTCGTTAGTGAATCGTCTTCCTCATACTTCAAATACATAACAATGCATTAACTTAATTTCATTTCACATGTCAAACAGGACATTTAAATATATATTGCAATACATTATAGAAAATTGCAAAGCGCCATCATTTCTGTAAACGAGATCGACACCTTGTTAACTCTCCTGTGCACACGAAGAGCGGTACCTAGTGCCACATTTTCTATACAATATAAAGCCTTCCCAGGTAGGGCAACTCATTTTAGTGCATTTCTGTACAGACTGTGAGCATACACGCCGAGAGCCAAACAGGCAACATCGGAAACGCTTTTGTAAGCTGGAACTGGAGGCGGGGGGGGGAACGTTTCCAAATCATAATGGAGCTCTTGTGGTTGGCGGTTTCGTATCACCGATGAAGACTTGCATCTTCCATCGTTCTAGCAAATTCTTTAGGGAAAGTTTCATGATAGGTATCTACCATCGAATAAGCGTAAGGAAATACTTTCATCAACTGGGACACAAATATTATGTGTCTTAACACATTCTCAGTCATGCCGGTCCAATGTTCATATAGTTACCTTATCTCTAAAATACTTCAGAAACCCCAAATGATTTTTATGCCACAGTATTATAACCAAGGATGAGTTACTTTATCCACCACTGTAGTGCTACCTGCTCTAGAACAAAAGAAAAAAAAAAGCAAAAGAGAAAAAAAGGATGAAAAAGGCCTCACACTTCCCGACAAGCGTCAAGCAGGAAGCAGAGGTAAGTACCATCGCTACCCACAACACAAGGATGAGTGCAGGTTCCCGGGCCAAGACCCACCTTGCCCAATTTCAGATGTCTGAGGTGCCAGTGTCTGCCCACAAAGCCACGTCCAACAGTCCCTGGAGTTCAGGGAGCAGTTTGTCTCACCAGCCAGGCATTCAGGACGAGCTGGATCGCACTCGTGAGGTGCACGGGCCAGCTACGGGGCCCTGCTCAAATGCAGACATCGACACGCCGTCAGACAAACCTCAGCTTAATTCCTGAAAAGTGCTACGGGATCCTCAGTTGCCACTCCACATTTGACAATGTTGTGTAAGTCGTTTTTGCAATGACTATCCACTGAAAAAGTGCAGATGCTCTTCACCGCAGAAAGAGAAAAACCCCCAAAAGCTCAGACCATTAAACTTGAAGACACTGGCTGTAACCCACCTGTGATTCAAAATCTCCCTTTTAAAAAGTGTGAAAACGATACAGATATTTGAGCTATTGAGTGTGTCTAAGTAGCTATTGAGGGGATTTTTCACTTTCTGTTACAACTTTCATGTTAAAATCTTTTCCTACAGGATTTTAACACATCACCAAGCCTCCAGTAACATGACCCCATAGTTTGTGTCATGCTACTTGGCAAATCTACTTATCCTAGGATGGAGGATAGAGGTGTAACCCGGCAGTGCTCAGTGCAGGGAACCGAGCCCTCTCCTAGCCCTTCCCATCTCCACATTTACACCATCATCCCAGGCATTATGAACAACTCTCAACAGTTTTACTGCTCTCTGATCATCGATACTATCTTTTCATTGCTACTGAACGTAGGCAAAATTATTTTCCAAGAAAAATAAATTAAATCAAAGAAAGTAACTATATTTCATTGCACTCTATTTTTCTGCCTTCAGGTTAGGACAAGGACATTTTATATTACAGAAGCTTAAAGATTATCTTCTCTCCTTGGGAGATATGAATATAGACAGATACGGGACTCGGGTGGAGGACGCAAATCGATACTGTCATATTTACAGAAGCAAATACTGATATCCAGCCTGAATACACAGTACTCCGTTAAGTGCAAAAGGGAAAACACTCCCCACCTTAAACTACAGCTTGGTTACTCAGCAGTCAGAGATGAATTGTCAGAGTTACTGCTGTGCTCTCATTTCAGAGGAAAATGGAGAAGGAGGAAGAGAATGTCTGCATCTTTGGGCTTTCTGGCCTATGGGGACTGCATAAGGCCATGAATCACTTCGTACGGGTTCCAGAAATGCTTTCTCTGCTCTGTGGAGGAGAAGGGAGTGCATCTGCCTGCCTCGAGAGCTCCTTGGCGAGCAGGAAGAAAATAGGCTTTTGCCCAGAGTCAGCATATCATGCATTAGAAAAATTATTTCATGTCATGTATGGGCATTGCAAGACTTTCCTTCCCAATAATCAAAGTTACAGCCAGACAGCATATTGCATATAATGTCATGAAAAAACAGTTTCTAAAATGGTACTGGACAAGTTTAAAAAAGGAAATGGCCTTATTTACTATAGTGTATTAGAGATAATCCAGTAAATTCTAATCATGAGGTACTAGGTATCTTTCCTCTCCTTTGCTTTCAAAACAAAGCAGAGATTTCTATGTGCTAAAAGTGAGCGATTGCAATACTTCACTTGTTCTCTCAGAACAGCAAGAGGAAAACTTGTTTTGCTTATCAGCTTTTAGGTACTTGAATTCTGCAGGGCAAGCAAAAGTCAAGAGCCTTCAAGCTCCTGCATTTTCCCTTCTTTCCACTTCT